AACTCATCTACACTCGGTGACCCATTGCAGGGAAATTTCTACCTGTTTAATATCTCTGCGCGCAACATCAGAAGTACCAAGTGCAAAATCCCCATGATCCTGGAGAAACAATACTCTGGGTAGGAAACATTTGCATAAGCCTCCCCACTTTGATTAGCCAAAGACGCCCTCTTTCCACGGAACTCCTAAAATAAGGACTAGCAAGGGGGCCTCTGTCAGCTTTCAGCTATGACCTCTAGAAAGCCTGCTCCATCTACAAGGCAGCTGTTAAAACCAGAGAATCCCTGTAAATTTAGAATTAGCTAGAAACGATGCTTTTGCTTTCTTTAAGTTCTGTATTTCACTTCGTTTCTCTCATTTGTCTATCTCCATTTCTAGTCAGAATACATTTTTTTAATATTGTATCTTAGCCTGTAGAGAAAACTTAGTACAAAAAAAAAAAAAAGACTTTCAGGGCTATCTGTTCAGTTCACACTACTTAATATTCAGGAAAGGCTAACGATGGGGAGGCAATCAGCCTTGCTGAACAGACTGGAATTCCTGATCCTTTCTCATGGGGGTCTTTGCCCCAGAAAAGGCCTGAATCTCAGCAGCTGAAATGTGAGAGACATACAAGGCCACAAAGAGTTAATCCCCCAGCTGGTAGTAGGTCTACCCAGCAGCACAGGATCTTAAGGAATGGCATGTGTTGTACATAAAGCCTCTTTAGAAGCCTGCACCCCACAGGGGTGAAGTATTTTCTTTCCTCTGGTTTGAACTGACTATCAAACTTCATCAAAGGACTCAGGTTCTAGCACCATGCAAGAGGTGAAAGGATCCTCTTTGCCAACTCCTTCAACAAGATTATTAATTGTAATGTTTTCCTAAAGTTCCACAGGCAGCACTAGAAAAATAAGGGAGAGGAATAAGTTAATGAGATCACAATTCTGCAGTTGAAGAAACTACTCTAAGTGGTAAAGACTGAGATGCAAAACATTACCAAATTTTCAGTTAAAGCCCTTCCTTGCACACATTCTGAATAAAATACACAAAGTATTTTTAGACACACTGATTTCAACATAAACAGAATGTTAGTTACCTTAAACGCCACTGTATTTTTAGTCACATTTGTTAGAACAATCAAGCATTTCTTTTCTCCTGTTTCTTTGGACCCAAAATGCAGTTCCTCTGCTGGACTAATGGAAAATAAACACAGCAAAATATTTTACATTACAGCCTTGCAAATTTCCAGGAATTTCCAAAAATAAATGTTGTATTTATAGCAGTCTATCAGATATATCAGGCTTTAAGTTGATCCTTAATCCAAGGATAAGTCTACAAAAGCATCTTAGGAAAACAGATATAACAGTCCTCCTTCTCACTTGCCTTGAAAACCCCTTGCTGGGGTTGCCATAAATCAGCTGCAGCTTGATGGCACTTTACGCACACATAGCAGCCTTTATTATTTATTTTATTAGTTTTCTACCCCGCCCTTCCTGCTGTAGCAGGCTCCGGACGGCTTACCCAAACACTACACAGCTAAGACAGAACTAAGTAAAATCATGACCATATAAATATAGAATATTACAAAGTGCTAGTGATAAAAACAGTTCATATACAGCGGCAGGCATGAACAGCATCCAGCAAGCAGTCAGTCAGTTCCCATCATGGTCTGGGTTACATCGGCTGTTGATGTTGATATAGTTGTTAATATTGGGGCCAGTACCTTGGTTATATAATGCGGCTCCCTAATCCAAGGCCTGGTGGAAGAGCTCCGTCTTGCAGGCCCTGCAGAACTGTAAAAGGACCTGCAGGGTTCCGGGAGCTCATTCCACCAGTGCGGAGCCGCTACTGAAAAGGCCCTGGCCCTCATCACAGCCAGCTTGGCTTCTCTAGGGCCTGGCAGGGCCAGATGGTTTTGGGACCCTGATCGTAGAGCTCTCTGGGGAACATGTGGGGAAAGGCGGTCCCTTAAGTATGCAGGTCCCTGACCATATAGGTCCTTAAAGGTAAGAACCAGCACCCTGATCCGGATTCGGTATGCTTTAGGCAGCCAGTGCAGTGTTTTTAGTGCAGGGTGGATGTGCTCCCAGAAAGGAAGGCCCAACAACAACCTGGCTGCCGTGTTCTGTACCAGCTGCAGCTTCTGGATCTGGGACAAGAGCAGCCCCATGTAGAGAGCAATACAGTAATCTAGTCTCAAGGTGACCATGGCATGGATCACTGTTGCCAGGTTATTGCGTTCAAGGAAGGAAACCAGCTGCCTAATCAGTAGAAGATAAAAGGCTGACTTCGCAGTGGCTGCTACCTGTGCCTCCATCGTTATGGAGGCATCTAGGAGCACCCCCAAACTCCTAACTTCCAGCGCTAGCACCAATGGTGCCCCTTTGAAGGTCGGGAGTGGGATCCCTACCCTTGGGCCACTCCGGCACAGAACCTCTGTCTTCATCGGATTCAATTTCAGTCGACTCAGCCTAAGCCAACCAGCCACAGATTTCAATGCCAGGTCTAGATCTTCCGGTCTGGAGTCAGACTGGCCGCCCAACAGCAGATAGAGCTGGGTGTCATCCGCATATTGGTGACAGCCCAGCCCATGTCTCCGGGCAATCTGGACAAGGGGGTACATATAGATTTTGAATAACACTGGGGAAAGCACCGCACTTTGGGGCACTCCGCAAACTAGCGGGTGCCTTCAGGACAGCTGCTCCCCAATAGCCACCCTTTGTCCCCAACCCTGAAGAAACGAGGAGAGCCACTGTAAGTCAGATCCCCTGAATCCCGGTGTTGGTGAGGCAGCAGGTTAGTAGTTGGTGATCGACTGTGTCAAACGCCACCAATAGGTCTAACAACAGCAACACTGCCAAACCGCCCCGATCCAGATGCCTCTGAAGATCGTCCGTGAGGACAACCAGTGCAGTCTCCATCCCGTGGCCTGGTCAGAAGTCGGACTGGAAGGGGTCTAATGCAGAAGTGTCATCCAAAAAGACCCTGCAACTGAATCGCCACCGCCCTCTCAATTAGTTTGCCCAGATAGGGCAAGTTGGAAACTGGCTGGTAATTAGCCAATTCGGCCGGATCCAAGGATGTTTTTTTCAAGAGAGGGCATATCACTGCCTCCTTGAGTATGCCAGGGAACAGCCCCACAGAGAGGGACTTGTTGATAATTTCCCTTAGGGTACCTCGTAGTCCATCACGGCCAGCTTTAATTAGCCATGACGGGCACAGATCAAGGCTGCAAGTAGTTGGGCGAACAGTTGAGAGTAATTTGTCAACCTCTTCTAGGCTGAGTGGACTGAAATAATCCAAAACTTGATAAGAAGACATGCATGGAGCCTCAAGTCCCCTTACTGTCTCAACTGTAGCAGGAAGGTCGTGGCGGAGCAACAAGACTTTATCTGCGAAATAGCTCACAAAAGCCTCACACCCAATCTCCAGTTCCTTAGCGTTTGGTCTGCCCTGTGGCAGAGTAGTAATAGACTGAATTGCTCTAAATAATTGGGATGGGAGGGAGCTCGCAGATGTGATTGTGGCAGCATCGTATTCTCTTTGAAGGTGCTTAACACTAAGATGTACCACTGGTGCATCTAATCTAGCAAAGCCTATTTGAAACAACAACAAGAAAATTCATAAGCCCTTCCTCATAAGATTTTCAATTGATGACTGAGATTAAACCCAGGATCCAATTTTTATATATAATGTGCTTCAGCTAGGGACCCTCAAATATTGAAATGGCAAAGCCTTAAGGATAAAAGCTTTTCCCCACATATTCATCTAGGCAAGGACTTGATGCTTCTATTTTTATTCTACACCAGAAATATCAGAGCTTCACATGTTATAAACAGTGGATATCGTAATATTAAATCATGCACACCAATTCAGCAGAGCTAGAGAAACCATCAAATGATGAGTGTCTGATCCAGGAGAAACCTTGGGATTCTAGAACATTTGCTCATAATGAGAATCTTCCCTGCTCCAAACCTAAGAGACTTTCAACAGCCTAAGAATTTGTCACACAGCATATGGTCAAGCAGCATAACAAGACACCAACACTACATGGAACAATGGGTAATCCTTATTTTTCAAACAATCCTTATTTTTCATAAAAAAATAAGCAGCATCTATGACTCTTGCATTTTATCTATGACTCTCATTTGTTTTACATGAGCAATTTACTTAGCGTTGCGTGCACACGCACACACACTAAAGGCACTAGTCTTGAATTACATTTTAGTGTAATGCACACAGTTAAATTAGGAATTTGTGATCAAATAGATCTGCCTTATAAATGTAATCTTCAAGTACACAGTTAAAAACAGACCTCAAAATGTACTTTAAGTCAGAATATGAAAACTACACATTTTCACCTTTCCCAAAACCAGAATACACATATTTCATCAACAGAACAAAGTTTGGGTCCAGTGGCACCTTTAAGATCAACCAAGTTTTATTCTGGGTTTGCGCCTTCCTGTGCATACACACGTCTTCAGATATCAGTTTTGTATAAAAACAGTTTACAGTTCCAAGGAGTACTCTTCAAAAACACTGAACATTTTCAGTACATATCACTTTTTAGGAAGCTTTATATGTATTTCACTGAACTTGATCACCTAGCAGTTTTCCCTGTCACAGACACACATTGATCCATGGAAGCAGCAGATTATTTTACAGGCATTTCCTCAACTATGCAATGAATCTACTAATTAAGCTGGAGCAATCTGCTAAATCTGTATGTGCTTTTAGTTAATTGGTATCATATAACTTTACTTTGGCAGTGACCACAATCCTATCTTATAATAAAGACAATGTGAAGAATGAGCTCTTCTTCCATTCATCTGCCTGTTGGGAAAGACAGCTTCTGTGCTGTTCGCTCCCAACAGCTGATAGGCGGTGGGGTTACCCTTTGCCTCTAAAAGGCCAAGACAGGAAGTGATAATAGACAGACTATATTCAGACCTTGGTTTGTTCTATTTGTTGTAAGAGCTCAGAATCAGATAAAAGTTAAGCCATTCTTAAAAATGTGAAGCATATAGTTCTTTCAGTTCTGATAAGTTCTGAGTGAAACAGATGTAAAATGTGTCCAGGTATTAAAAGTATTACTATTGCGTATCATTTACCTGATGTGCAATAAAAGTCCTTTAAAAGTTGTTAGTGCCTTCTTTGCATTTTTTGCTTTGGAATCCACTTTATCACTCTCTTCTGGCTTGGGAATTTGATCTGTGAGATTCGTCTAACCAAATGCAAACAATTGAATAATAAAAAGAAATGTGAACAGTTACATACATGGGCTTTGCTTCTGTACTTGCTTTCTCAACCATTAACTCATCATTTCATAATAAAAACAAAGTATCCCTGTGGTTGTACAATATGAATGGCATATTTTGAACTCTGAATTTCTTTCCGCCCTCAAGCCAACATGTTTAAGCTCCTTACAGCTGGAAGATACCTTTAAAAATTCAGGCGCCCAGGTCTCTTTGCTACTTCCTTTCTTTTGACCTATTTTGTCCTATTTATCAAAAATATTTCAAATTCTTCAAAGCTCCAAATATTGCATTTTGAATTATACAAGTTACCTGTGCGCATACAGATGATCTACCTACCTAATAAGCAACTCAACATTTTTAGAAGATATACAATGTCTTCTGTGAATTGTTTTATTTAAATCATTGAACTGTTTTATCTTCTTGCACTTATTCTAATGTATTTTAGTATTGTTCATCGCTCAGAGCCCTGAGTATTCAGGGATAGAGCAATTCACAAATCGAAATTATAAATAAAATAGATAATATTTTTATTTACTTTGGCTTTTTTCCAAGTCAGATTACATGTTGAATCTAAAAAGAATCTAGATGAGGACTAGTTCATTATGCCGGTACTGACACAAGATGATTGCCCTGCACTGAGTTCCACAAATCTGAGACCTCATCTGGAATCTGCATTAGGTGTTTAGACTAGTTTACCAGTTACCAGTTATCTAGTAGAAACCTAGTCACTCTAGATTACTTTAAATGCAAAGTATGCTCCAAAACTAATGTTTACTAAACACAGGACTAATAAAACTAATTGTTGGCCTATAATTATTCAAGGCAACGTGAATGAGCGATCTAAAAAGTAACCCAGTTAACTGAAGCGCTAGCATTGCTGAAAATACCAGCTCAACAGTTTGATGCCAGTCAACCAAAATAAGCCCTACCATTAAATGAAAACTAACAAAAATTTAAGGTAAGTACTCTAACTGTATAATGCAAAGGCATAGCAAGCTTAAAGACACATGATGTTCATCCTTGAAACAGAAACTATTTTCTACAAGTTCCGAAGATTTAGTAGAGTACTTATTTTCTGGAACCCAGAATTACAGTTTTTATTTCTTATTTCAAGTTGCACACAATACTGGGATTGTTTGGTCTTTTTTTCAAGAATTGGTTATATCCAGCAACACACAATTATACAAGAGCAATGCCATCTTTTAAGCAAAAATATTATTTATGTTAGGATTATTCATTGTAAAATGCAATATGCATTAATGGTGATTTTTCTGGTCTACTTAATGACTGACATTTCTTCAGTGTCACCTCTCCACTAACACTTCATAGTCCTCCTCAAGAGAAACATTCTACTTTGAAGACTTGCAAGTGCCCACCATTACCAAGAGTGGGGTGTGTGGAATGAGAGGGGGACATATATGCTGGAAGTTAAGTAGAGAAGGAAACAGACACATACTTCTTCTGTGATTAATAAATTTTGCTTTCCAGTGCAACACTGTACCCAAGTGCAGCTCTTTGTTTTTAACCCTATCCTCAAATACCTGTGGAAGGGGCTGTGGCTCAGTGGTAGAGCATCTGCTTGGCATGCAGAAGGTCCCAGGTTCAATCCCCGGCATCTCCAGTTAGAAGGATCAGGGAGGAGGTGATGTGAAAGACCTCTGCCTGAGATCCTGGAGTTACTGCCAGTCTAAGTAGACAATACTGACTCTGATGGACCAAGGGTCAAATTCAGTGTAAGGCAGTTTCATGCGTTCAAATACAATGGCAGGAATCGACATATGAGGTGGGGGGGGGGAGCTTGACCCTAGTTACCCCAATGTCAGGTCTTTTAATCCTTTCATCTTTGCCTCAGATTATGATCAGTTTATTTGGGACCATGGAATTTAATGAGAGGCACTGAGAACAGAGACTGCCCTCACCACCATATCCTCACCTTGAATCATGCTTAAGTGTGATGGAATGTATAAAACGGGAACAATGTGATGGAAGCTATAGTGCGTAAGTGGGAAGTAACATCTGATGAAGCAGACATATTTAATTTTCTAGGAGCAGCACAGCAGACACACACACAGCTCCCTAACAGAGATGCTATCAGTGCTTGCAATATAATGAATGCAAATGTGAAAGATCTTGAATATGTACTCTCAGGTGAATCAGACTGTCAAGCCATTGAGAAAAACATGTGAATGATATAGATATCCCACTGTGGATACCAAATTCAATGACTGAAGTGTGGCATCAATATAAGCAGCTTGGGCATGAGCATTTTTGGAAGGATTAAGACCAACGGCAAATGGTGACTGGAGCAACGGCAACATGGCTACGCAGAAGACAGTGACATATTCAAAGTTTAGGATAGAATCATACTGTAGTTCAAAAGGATAATCTGACTGCAGAACCAGAACTCAGATTCTGACAGGACAGAAAGGGCTTAGTCCATCACTCCCAGATTTAACACCCAAAGTAAGATTTATGCTTTGCTGGATTTTCTCCACAAAAAATGGAGAAATAAAACAGCAAATTTAAAAAATGACATGAAAGCAGAAATTTCTGATATCCAAGCAGGGTAGTACTCTGTGCAAATTACAGTAGCTCAACAGCAAATGAGCAGCAGTTTTATAGATCACATATAGAACATTCTAAGCATGTTTATGCAGATGCAAATCTCACCCAGTTGAACTTCCTACTAAGCATGCTTAGGACTGAGCCTGAGGACTGGGTTGATTAACTATGACAGGAAAAGAAAAAACCATACAATCGCTCCTCAGAATTTATTCAGCTTTCTAGATTAACAGTAATTATTTAAGGTTGCCATGCTACAGAAACTTTCTATCATTGTTTTATATGTTCCCCTCAGTTCAAGGATACCTTTTTTGAACTGGACCCTTGCTCTTCATTAGAATCTGGATTCTCCTTATTGTCCACGTCTATCTCTTCTTTGCTTTCAGTTTCATCTTCACTAGTAATAGGCCCGTTTTCACACAATGGAGTTTGAAAATCATCATCCACAAGCGGAGGGTAACGGTACTTGAAGGTGTCCTATAAAATAAGGAGGTTCGAGTGTGATTCAGGGATGCAGAATCACCACCTATCAAATAACGCAGAAAAGTGCTATCCTACTGCTGCTTTAAGAGCCATTTTGGGTCTCATCTGTACATTCTAAGCAAAATGATACTGTTGCATTTACCTTACTTAAAGACTGAAGATGAAAAATGCAAGTAATTCAAAACAGTATACCCTTGTCATTGATAATAGAGCCTAATTTCAAATGCATACATGTATCTTTGATCAAAGGCTTCTACCTCAAACCACATTTGATTTGCATTTGACCATTTTTCATTATCACACAAATGAAAAACAAGGGGGAAAATCCTTACATTGGTTTGTTGTTGTTTTTAACATCAACGAGCAAGAGCAAATGACATTTACAGCCAGAATACTGCTTGATATTTTCCACTGGAGAGGTTTCCAATCCTGAGGAACTAAATCACCGTTCGTGCCTCTTCAAGAGCAGAAACTACTGCCTCAGAGACAGAAAAGCAAAGCTCTAGCTATGTGAAGTGTGCAAATGCATTGCCTTCCCTGGTTTGAAGCCTAAACGTGCCTATGCACCAGCTATTGCTGATTTTCAGCTTAGATGGAAGAAAATCAGGTGGTCAAAGATAAACAGAGTATGGGATTGGGCTTGTAGTAAAACTTGAGGAAGAGCAGTAAAGCTGGGCACAAAGGGAAAGGAATATGGAGGCTAAGTTTAGATAACTAGTGTTATTAACCAAGTCTTATTTTGTTTCTGACAGCATAACAGCAATACAGAAATAGCTATTTACTGAATGTCTTTGATAGGAATCCAAGCTGCTGCCGCCACTATTCCACCATCGTGGCACTGTTCCACCATTTACCCCTATTATGGGGGGTATGCGTCGCTTGGCGGAAGCGGGTGGACCTCATCGCTGGAGTCCTCGCTACTTACCGCCCATCTTGGGGTTTTATATATATAGGATAACATCAGAGCACCTTAAATATTGTCTATGGGATTTTATTGTGGTTGTCTAACGCTGTTTTATTGTATTTTACCTATTTAACCCGGCACTAGCCGTATGTTAGCCGCCCTGAGCCGTTTGGAAGGGCGGGATATAAATCCAAAATAAATAAATAAAAATAAAATAAATAACCACACCCCACTTATTCACGTGCACTCTCAAGTGCTTTACTAGTACTTGAGTAGAGGTGAGCTGAGGATTGTGGTGTTTAGTCCAAGAATGGGATGGCAGAGTCCTCTATTCTGTCTCCATTTAGGATATGTTATATCTAATCAAGGAGTTTGCTCCAACTATCTTCAGGCAAATTTTGTGGAATCTTAACAGCCAAGGAAGAGTACTCCTCCCCACTTTCCCAGTGTCTGAAGAGCAAACAATGAAGGGGAAAATAATTTGGTGCACACTTCCACAACCCCTGAAAATCAGACATCATGGGATACCTACATCCATATGTTGTTACACAATGAAAGAACAGAAGCCCCCTTCAAAACTACCTTTCTCTCGCAAAAAAAGATGTTTTTGCCACGAGTCATTTAAAAGTGGTTCTGCTACTTTTTGTTTGCTTCAGTGTTCAAATACTTTTCCTGGGATCCCCAAATATCAGGGCATAAATTACCCAAGGGACTTTACAGATCACAATCTATCCTCAAAAGCAGTTTGACAAGGGGATGGGGAGGATAATAGTCAATTTAAAAATCCACCCTAACAGGATGTTGCAATCATCCCTGCTAAAAATAAGCATATTTTATTACAATCCTAATGTTAGATTAATTACATATGTGCTATGAAGGGGAACATGCTGTATCTTGCAACTCTGCTCAGCTGCAGGCAACCTGTTCTACTGGTGCAAGGTGTCTTCTGCCAGTGGAAGAGCTTCCTCCACCAGTGGGATGTGCCTTGCACTGAATAACAGAATATGCCACCTTCAGTTGAGGTGAGTGATAGGACACTTGGCTACCTCAGATGTATGGCTAATCACTGCCCCTTCCATATATTACCTGCAAAAGATATAGTTAGCAATTGCACTAAGTAGTTCTGGCACAGTAATATACTTACAGTTCCTCCCATATGAGGTAGTAGGTATTCAGCACTGATATACTCTTGGATGTCATTCTTATTGACTGTCTTCAGAAAACCTACAGCATCTGGACCAAGCCAGCTTTTCACAATCTTAAAGGCAGCTGGATAAAAATAAAGTAGGAAAAATTTTCCTTTACTCACACAGTTCACAATGCACATTTAGATTAATCACAATAGTAACTGTGCAATAGTTCCAGAGTAATTTCGCCAGGAACTGTGAGTACTGTGCTAACAAATAATGGGCAAAATTTACTATGGCTTGGTTCCTATTTAGTGCAAAGGGGACAATTCTTGCAGCAGAAGCAAACTTTCCAGTCTCCATTCTCCCACTGCCACCTATCATGCACTCTGGGGACCATGTCAGAGCCCATAACCCCCAGATCCCCAGAATCTGAGGAGGGGATCTGCAACAGGAGGGAGGAAATCTGCAAAACAAAAACACGCCCCATTTCTTCCACTGGTGCTTGTATCTTTTACCAGCACAAAATGGCCAATCTTGAACACCAATTTCTGCTCCAGATGTAAAATTAGCTTTAAAAAAATGAAACTGGCATTTGTGAATTAAGCAGGTTGGGGATCTCTTTTACATATTATGATTAAACCTTGATAAAATGTGTGTGTGTGTGTGTGTATGTATATATGTGTATGTGTGTTTGTGTGATATAACATTCTAAAGGATTTTCAGGGCCTTGAATTACACCCACAACCTTTTAGATCCTACATGGAAAGTTAGACTTTTAAACTTACCATTCATTATCCAGGGCAATTCAAAAATCACAATTTTTGCTGCAATGACAAAAAAAAGAGAGTCCCCAACCCAGTTAGTTTATTTACACATACTGCCCTTCTCACTACTCAGAAACAGAATCACTTTATTGTATGTGGCCATAGGCCTTCACAATATCAACATTCTCAGAGAGTTTGTGCATAACATATGATTAAAAAATTCAACCTCTATAAAATGTATAAAACCTGTTAAAACTACCTCAGCCTATAATATTTAAATCCGATAAGACCTTTTAAGAACACTCACTTAGTTGCAATGGTACCATTTGATTTCTTCACTCTAATTTTTCTCGCGGCCAAGGCAAAGAGCCAATCTTGAAGAGATGAAGGGGTCCTCATCTGAGAGCATAACTGCCATCTTATCATAACCAGACAGGGGGTATAAGGCTGTCAATATCTTTGCTAGAAATATGGCCCTACGTATAAAGGACAGGCAAAAATATAATGGGGAAGGTCATCCACTGACTGCCCACATATGCAGATACGTTGTTCTACTGGGGTTTTCTTATAGCAACCAGCTAGCATCCCCGAAGGCATCGTTTGAAAACGCACTGAGGTAAGGGATCTCCAGAGATTATACGAGGTTATGTTGTTTAAGTAAGAGGCTCTGGAATGATCCTTTTTAATTATTTTAAACAATGGAGCACACCTCGATTGGGAGACCAAAGTGGCAACTATTAGAGCATCCTCTCTAAACATCCATTCGCATTGGTTAGTATTGTTCCCTGTTTGTTGTAGCAAGTCATCTGGAATAGTGAATCTAGTAATGATATAATTAAAAATTCAGGGTGAGCTTTATCTTTGGCATTCAGTATATGGTAACCTTCTCACTACTCAGTAAGCAGTGCATACTGTGCTGAAAACTAATTTAAGAGTTAATTTAAAAAAAAAAATCTTCCACTTTCAAGTAGAGGGTATATGTGCACGCATGCACACAGAAAAGAATATCAGTAGTAATGAGGAATGGAAACTAAAAAGAAGAGGTCTAGAATTTACAGTGCATACTGGATGCGTTTGTAAAGCCACATGCTTCAGAGCTGAACACTGATGTTGCATTTTGAGAAGTGTAACAGGAGAGACAGTTGCATGCCAATTACATACATCTACCTGCCAACCTAGCAGTTCGAAAGCAAGAAATTGCAAGTAGATAAATAGGTACCACTTCAGTGGGAAGGTAACAGCGTTCTGTGCGCCTTGGTGTTTAGTCATGCTGGCCACATGACCACGGAAACGTCTTCGGACAGTGCTGGCTCTTCGGCTTTGAAACGGAGATGAGCACCGCAACCCTAGAGTCGGATTCGACTGGCTTTTGAGAAAGGGAACCTTTACCTTTTTACCTGTGGCTTTTGAGCAAGGGAACCTTTACCTTTACCTTTTTACCTGTGGCATATACTCATCCCAATTTAAGTGGCTATATAGCACTATAGAGTGCTTTCATATGCCACACACAAGTTTGCCTATTCACCTTAGTGGAAAAGGAAGTACCTTAATTACAATTCCTGGCACTCCCTTCACTGAAATAAAACAGGGAAGCTGCTGTGCACATGCATATTTATAGGAATGTATATTAGTAGCAGACACAAGTCAGATCAAGTTCTGTTCAGGTTAATTTTTAGCACTATTTGGCTTCCACAGGAAGTTATTTAAACACTGTATTTGCTCGCACTTGCCCTAGTGCCCTTTCAGAGTTTAAAATTTTTTATAGTGAAAAACATATCTTTTTGCTCAGGTTACTATGTGAAGCAAGCAAACAGATTTGTCAAGTATATATGTAGAACAGCAAGCTCTGGTTGCCCTGAGCTGGATAGCCCAGGCTAGCCCAGTCTGAGAAGCTAAGCAGGGTCAGCCCTGGTTAGTACTTGGATGGGAGACCAAGGAATATCAGGGTCATATGCAGAGGCAGGCAATGGCAAACCACCTCTGAAGGTCTCTTGCCCAGAAAACCCTGTGGAGTACACCACAGTTGTATGCTTTTGGCTTGGGATACAGCCTCTCTTAATTTCCTGGGCTTGGAAACCTCCCACTGTAGCCACACAGAGAGCAAGCAATTCTCTTTCTTTGGGAACCAAAGCCAAACAGTATTTCTTCCCCACAGCACAGAGCAAACCCCACATTTCTTCCATTTCCTCAGTACAGGAAGCACTTCAGAGGGAGGCTTGGAACCTCCCAACATATGTCATTTGCCTTTTTCCTTTGGCAGCCATTTTGTGGTGATGCCCAGGATTCAATGGAGCTTCACACTCAATGGTATTCCCCTGTGCCAAACTACATGCTGCTCACGAGCGTACGCTAATCTCAGGGGTAACCTTTTAGGAGGAAGAAGGCACTGGAAAAGCCCTAGTATAAATATGACACAGTGCACTTTTATGCACAGTTTGGTTAGCATGCATGGGTCTGTTTTTCAGAATTCAGGGGGTGGCCACCCCTCAGGGAGTCAACAACCAGTTGGAGTCAGAACTATATGGGGAAATACACCCCCACTGAATTAAATGGCTGTCTGATCTGTTAAAATTTGTGGCAGGATATGAGCTTTCATGAGTCACTGCTCACTTTCTTCAGATTACTTCTTCAGATATTGTCAGATATTTGAAGTGAGCAATGACTCACAGAAACTCACACCCTGCCCCAAATTTTGTTAGTCTTTAAGGTGCTACTGGACTCTTGCTCTTTTCTACTGCTACAGAGTAACACAGCTACCCGTCTTGATCTGTCTGTTCTGTTAGTCATCTTGAAGAGCTGAACATTAGACAGGGCCATCAGCAATAACCTCCTAGGGTTTTTTCCCCTACTGCTTCATTACGTGTGATTTATGGAAAGCATCAGGCAAATGATGATAACCAAGCGCAGGTAGGGAAGCCATCCATTTGTGACAGGTGATATTTCAAGGCTATGCTGCAGGCACGGCAGCTGTGAAGAATAGTTTCTCTTGCTCTAAGGAACCGTGATTACAGAGTACCATCGAGCCATTTTGTGCAGTGAATGAACAAGCAACTTCGCTCGCAGAAAGAGTGCTGCTGAGCCACCCTTTCCCCACTCTTAGATGTTTGCTGCTCATTTTACAGACACAATCAATAGCTTAGATTTGGGTACTCGCAATTCAACCTGCAGGGCAAGAGAGACTACTGAGGTATTCAGACTGATCCGGACACAGAAACAGAGATGCTTAATCCAACTTCAATTGACTAACGTTGAATCATGTGCACGAGCAGGCTATAAAGTGTTATGCCATTGAGGGGGTCAATTTGTTTCTTTGGCGATGAGGATACCTTGGGCACTGTGTTCAGAGGACAGCAGATGGGTAAGGCCGCACGAAATCTGCAATACTTTCAACCCTGCTCAAGAAATATAACATGCATATAAAAACTAAGAGAACGCTACCAGCCCATATCCAACCTTGTTTTTTCTAGAACTTTAGCTTTGCTATTTTTAGATATGCTATGTTTTGGGTAAAAGAATTTGTTTTTCCTTTATATTCTAGGCATATGGTAAAGTGATGCTATCATACTTACAGAGATAATTAGGATAATAGACTTTGAAACAGCCAATGATGTACCGGACAAAATCCAAGTCCTGAAACAGAGACACTATCTATCAATTTAGGCAAATATATTTAAAAGCTACCAACAGACAACTTAAAAAACTGTTAAAGGTTAAGAAGCAAAGTCACAGTGATATTGCACAATCTTCAGGTACGTATGCAACTGTCTGTGTGCCCTCTGTGCTGAACCCTCCTCCAAACTACAGCTTAAATATGCAAGTAGTTAAGTATATGCACTGTGGATTGGAAAAAATACGTGGAAGTTCACTGATCTCTGGGCATTCAACCTGGACAAATCTCAGATCTTCAAAATGTTACATAATTTGCAATGAGGTACCAAAAGTAAACCCAGAATGTGCGGTCAGGATGTGCGGTCAGCCCGCTTGCGGGGAGGGCGGGGTATAAATTTGAAGAAATAAATAAATAAACAACTCTTCTGCAACATGGTGACATGGCTGGAAGCTTGCAGGGGCTTTTTCTCTCTTCCCAGGGCTAGCAAAGTGCTCAGAAGAGTTCTGAGAACGAACTATAAAAGCCTGGAATTTCAGTGGGATTTAGATGCAAAGTGAAAGTTATGGTTGCTGTCACTTTCTGTTATGTAAGTGCTTCTCTTACCCTAGCTTTATTAAACACTACTGAAGAGCTAGTTCTGTCTGTGATTTATGAACTGGTTAACTCAGAACACTGAGTTTTATTCCAGTGGGGAACAAGCTCATCTAAGTACTTTAGTTAAAGGGCTTGCAAAAATTGGCTGTTCATGAAATTTCTACCTGAAGAGCAACTTTCCAGACATGGATGGATGGATGAATGGAAGGAAGGAAGGCAGAAAGACAGACAGACAGAGAATAAGAACTGCTTACCATGTTACTTAGTCCAGTTTCAGCCATATCAAACACCACAGTTAATGGTTTCCCATGTTCCCTCCTGGCATAGCGCTCTAGCCAAAAGGCTACCAGTTTCTTTTTCTCATGTTGTGTTTTAGCATCTTTTGTATGAAGTTTCACTCTGAACCAAACTAATGGGGGAACCCAACAACATAGATTTTAATGTTACTTACTTTCAAACTAATAATATTTTCTACAATAACTTCTCAAATAAAAGAGACTGTAGAAAATCATATTTTCATGTCATAGTTTCAAATCTTACGACAAAATAAGCAATAATTATTAAATGTGAAACTATTAAAAATTCCCTTGTGACATTACACGTTGCTTTAAGTGTTCATATGACAATTACTGAAAAGGACCCTGATAATCCAAAGTCACTGAGCCCCTTTAGGAGGGACCTTTCTGCTATAAAGTAGGCAAAAGAAATTTGGTATCCATTTATATATGATCTCATCAAGCACCAATTTCCTAATGAAACTGAGGTTCTCTCAAGCACAATCCACCTCCCACTGCAGTGAATGAATCAGGCCTACTTATTCTACTGTAATTGGATTGTACCATCAAGCAGCCTGGTTATAAAAAAAAGTGATTCAGACTTCAGCAGTTGCAATCATCTGGCAAACAATGGACTCAGTACTCATACTAAAGTCAAAACTATATAGGTCAAACTAGTATGAGTGCATTCAGACCTCATATAAAGATTACATATACTGAAGGCATCTCTTAAATAAGGTCTTATGTAACCCACTGAAGTTCTTTTAACTGGTGCCTCTTATGATATAATCTCATTAGGTGTTCTTACGTATTTCAGCACTGCTATGCTTCCCATAAATTTGAGTCCCTGTGGCCCACCCCTCTTGGTAGTTGTTTTAGTTCTCCATTGGAAAATTCCCACTTTTTGATAAAAAGAGTAAGTACATGAAATGGCAAATATGACTTACATATTTTATGGCCTTCCTTATCGTAACCGTGCAGATAAAGGGCACCAACTTCAAACAGCCACTTTGGAAGTGAAGATTCTGTCAAGTCTGTAGAAAGACAAGACTTGTAAAAATGGTTTCCATCAATCGTACTATGACTGCAACAATAAATACGAAGTGAAATAAAAAGCATTCTGTATCTGCTGAAAGAGCTAAAAAAGAGGGGGGGCACACAGTTTCTTCTATATTACAAAGTTTAGAAACAGAACTGCACTTCTCATTCTGCAAAAGAGTATTTCAGATCCCCAAAACACTGAAACATGGGGGGGAAAATTAAAAACGTGATCACATCTAACCAGCCATGAGATCACAAAATGGGCCCTTCTCTAGCTGAAGCACACTGCCCCCAGAATTCAGAGGACCCCCAGCAACAGCATTGGGCACACTGTGAGGCTGGGGAGGGGGAAGAACTGTGGAAAATCACCCTCTCTTCTGACAGCCCTTCTATCTGTGGAAAATGACCATTGATATAAGCCATCATTATGAGCCTATTTCTATTCCCATGAGAGGACATTACAGTGGCTAGGTTCAGACATTCATTCCAAATCTTTTGGAGCTATGTGAACCAAAAACCTGAAGAAAATTCATGCCCATTTCTCCATCTAGCAACAGTGGCTTGAGCATGCCACGCTAAGCAAGGTGCCACACAGGAAACAACACTGTCTGCCAAATGCATTCATGTAGCACCAAAAACTATGTTTGATCCAACTACTAAACCAAGCCAGAAAGAGAGAACATAGGCAGGGATGAGACTATAAACTCATAGTACTATATAATATGATCCGGACTACCAAATGTGCTGAATGAAACAGGATAGGTTAGAAGACATACCAAATAAAGTCAATATCTGTGAATACTAGAAAAACTTTAAGTATCAGGAATTATTTCCAAGGAGAGAATTTTGGTCTGGCTACTAGTTTACACAGAGAATGATTAAAATGTGGAATTCGCTGCCAGAGCCACAGGAATAAATAGTTTTAAAAGGGGATTAGACAGATTCATGAAGGGTATCAATGGCTACTAGTCATGGTGACTGAGGGGAACTTCCACATTCAGAGGCACTAAATCTCTGAATCCCAGAGCCAGGAGGCAACAACATCATGGAAGGTCTAGGCCACTGTGTAAGACAGAAAGCTGGACTAGATGGACCATTGGTTTGATGCAGCAGGGTTCTTCTTATGTTCTTATGCTTAGTCAGGCAGTCTACAGGACTTACGGTATTATTGCTTCTGTACAGTTAGATCTGTATCCTTACACAAACTTCTACATGTATTCAACTCTTTGCCCTCCTTTTGATGCCATCTCTTGATGTATTTTTGATGCCATCACTTGATGCATTTCCTCATTTTAATAACACACTTACATTGGATCAAAGAACGACAGGGTTTTCTTATGTTATATTATGTTATCTGCAATAACCCAATATAAGTAAGTAGAAGTATAGATGGTGTAAGAAGCACTCCAGTAAGAAGAATTATACATTTGCCATTAGATGCCAGGCATCTTACCATGAACTGCATACTCCTTCCTCCACTGAAAGCTTTCATCAATCATCTTCAGTGTTTCATCCACAGAATCATGTTGCCATATGAGATAGTTATCAACCCAGGAATCGTCTTGCTGCAATCTCTCCACATCTCTTGAATCATATGCATCTGATTTTGCTGATAAATAAAATATAAAACATGAGCATTTGTGACATAAAGCACGTTTTCTACTACTTTAAGGTGTAGCACAAGGAGACAACCTTGGCTTGATGAACCTATGCCAGGATTAGCAAAGACCTTGATGCTCCTGTTTTACAAAATTTTGCAAATGTTTTACAACACTAAGGAACAGGATGACTATACATAAGGATAACAGTGGGATGGGTCCATCCAGATCCACTCGACCTCACGCATTCCCTCTCTTACTGCAACCCCTGTCCCATGATTCCCAGAACAGGCCTTTAGTGGGAACTGGTTTCTTACCAGCAGAAAAGCTGGTTGGATTCCCCAGAGTGTACAGAGCCTTCAGTGTGGAATGAATGTGTTGGTTCACATGGTTCACATTACCCTGTTTGCTTTTATACCCCAGCATATGTAAAATCCACAAATTAAGAATGTGCACGAAAAATTCCAATTGAAAATGACATTGAGTTAAGCTGATGTAATGATCTCCTACTCTTGGGTTTTTAGTTAGTAGTGGGTCTTTTTTCTGTCTCCTAGATGTAGTTCCCCTTTCTATATTTTCGGTTGTAATTTGTAGTTTGTAAAAAAATCAATAAAAAATTCCCCTAAGGGGGATCCAAAAAAATAAATAAAATTCCAATTGAAGAAACACCAGAGTATAGAAACACAACATTTAGATTACATATATTCTTGCACATAGGAGGTAGGCAAATTATTTCATAAGGAAACCACCAAAAGTGCTGAAGATAATCCACTAAATTTGGCATTAGTAGTATGAATTTAAGCACCATCAACATGGTAAGCATCAGATCATAGCTATGTTTATATAATGCATCAGTAAATGTCATATCCAATGAAAAAGCTGTAAACGGTGGATTATTACACAGCAATCATGCAGATTTACCCTACGATGCTCAAGAATGAGTTGTGAAGCAGGTTTCAGAAAACAATTCCATGTTGAGAAATAAGGTAAACCTTCTGTAAAGTGGTATCTGAAGAGGTGAGCAGTGACTCATGAAATCTCATACCCTAACACATATTTTGTTAGTCTTTAAGGTGCTACTGGACTCTTGTTCCTCTCTAAGTGTACAACATTTCTGTTAATTCTGTAATTCTGTAAATTCTGTAATTCAAAATTACAAGTCAGCATTTCAAGGTAAAAACACTTAAATAACACTCAATTTTAAAGTAATACAAACTCCTCCACCTATTTTCCAAGCATTTGGGACACAACATTAATATTATACACCTGACTTCAAATCAATTTAAATGCAGAATTCTTTAAAATGAACCCTGTGAAAAAGTAGGTTGTTTGTATCAACAAGCAACTGCAGAAGTACAAGTTGCCTATGGACTTTGAGGATGCCCTACTTTGCCAAAACCTATGCAAAAGATACTTCAGGATCTGAATGTCCATGAACAATTTTAATTCAAGTTCCTCACAAGTCCCCAACAGAAATCTCTTGAATCCTCTCTCCTATTCAATGGCTACCAAGCAACAAAATATAATTATAATATAGCTTGCTGATGAATACATGTAAGAACCCAGGGTAAAGGTTAGCTATTATCAGTGGGATCCATATAAACTTAATTTAGTATTTATTTGAAAGTTCTTAAGTAACCTACATAGTGTAGTGCTTTCTAAGCAACTGACTATTACTATTGTCAAATATTTCCCAGTTTTCAAAAATTGATTTTTTTTTAATGTGAACAAAGTTTGAGTCCAGTGGCACCTTTAAAACCAACAAAGTTTTATTCTGGGTATAAGCTTTTGTGCGTTGGTCTTAAAGGTGCCACTGGACTCAAACTTTTGTTTTGTTGCTTCAGACTAACACAGTCTCTGGACCCTGTGGTCTTTTTTGTATGGCCTTTTCCACTAGCAGGCATGGTCTGTGAGTTATGGTATTTCTTTCCTCATTCAGTTATTATATGGATGTTCACATAAGAAACATATAATAACTGAATGAGGAAAGAAATACCATACCTCACAGACCATGCCTGCTAGTGGAAAAGGCCATACAAAAAAGACCACAGGGTTCCACATAAGAACATAAGAGACGCCAGTGTTGGATCAGGCCAAAGGCCCATCCAGTCCAACACTCTGTGTCACACAGTGGCCAGAAATACCAGTGCCATCAGGAGGTCCACCAGTGGGGCCAGGACATTAGAAACCCTCCCACTGTTGACCCCCCCAAGCACCAAGAAGACAGAGCATCACTTGCCCTAGAGTCCCTGTCTATACCTTGTGGCTGATAGCCACTGATGGACCTCTGCTCTATATGCTTATCTAATTCCCTTTTGAAGCCGTCCATCCTTGTAGCCGCCACCACTTCCTGTGGCAGTGAATTCCATGTGTTAATCACTCTTTGGGTGAAGAAGTACTTCCTTTTATCCGTTCTAACCCGACCGCTCAGCAATTTCATGGAGTGCCCACGAGTTCTTGTATTGTGAGAAAGGAGAAAAGTACCTCTTTCTCTACCTGCTCTATCCCATGCATAATCTTATAAACCCCAATCGTGTCACCCCTCAGTCGTCATTTCTCCAAGAGCCCTAAGCACTTTAACCTTTCCTCATAGGGAAAGTGTTCCCAACCCTTTTATCATTCGAGTTGCCCTTTTCTGCACTTTTCCCAAAGCTATAATATCCTTTTTAAGGTGTGGTGACCAGAACTGCACACAGTATTCCAAATGAGGTCTCACCATTGATTTATATAGGGGCATTATGATATTGGCTGATCTGTTTTCAATACACTTCCTAATAATCCCCAGCATAGCATTGGCCTTTTTTATTGCAGTCACACAATGTCTCGATATTTTTAGTGAGTTATCTACTACAACTCCAAGATCTCTCTTGTTCAGTCTCTGCTAGTTCAGACCCCATCAATGTGCATTTATATTTAGGATTTTTGGCTAAATCAGTCAACAACCGACAACCTCTGATCCAAATCTCTCCCAGTTGTCAACTCAGGGCCAAGCTAGATAAGATGCAGGGATACTGTTGGTAATGTTTCCTGTAAGTTTTAACCCAGTTTTCTGTTCTGTAACTGCTTGTAACATTTGAAAGGCTAGAAACACCTTTTTAAACTGGAGAAGCAAGAGTGTGGTGCTCTCAGGGAGAGATGAGTATATATTCTTGTGTCCTCAGATCCTCTCCTGCCCCACAGAGAGAGAGAAAGGGGGTAGATGTACAGTCAAAAGACTCCTTACAGCTTCCATGAAGCAAGAACATGCAGAAGAACTTGCCCTACAGGCAAACTAGGCCAGAATACACAGTCCCTCTTAACTTGGTACTATGTACATCTCCAAATCATCTATCCTACTACTTCAATAGGCACACAGCAGCAAGTACAACTATATCACACCTAGTTTATGTTCATGAAGTCATTAACAAAATTGCGACAGAACCTCCTGGACTATTTTCAACTGAGGATGAATTGCAACATGAGGGAAAATACTCAATTCATATGCAAGCAGTAAGATGAAGGAATAGACACATTTATTTTTCCTTTTCTTAGTTTACTAGAAACAACTCAAGTATCTTTAAGGTTATAATATTGATAATCACCAAGGGCAAATCCATATACACAGAAAGAAAACTAGCATGAAAATAGCTAGTTTCTTCCATGCTTGTGACAGAAAGAAATTAAATCAGTTGCTAGCACAAGAAAACGTCTATTGTGTAAAAGCAGCGTATGCTGCTACCATAATACCAATCATTATTACATATACATCAGATTGTCTTACAAAGATTAAATGTTCCTTGTCAACAACTGACACGTAATAGAAAATATCTACTTATAGTAGACTTCAGAGGCAGAGAAGAGGGTTCTGCCCCCTCTTGGAAACCCAGTAATTTGTGAAGAATATAAATCACTTCCCACTGCATAAATGGAAAGGAGGCAAGCAGCATCACACATAAGCCACTGCACTTCAAAAATTAGGGGACTTTTAGAGCAAATAGGCTGCTCCTGCCATCCATTCCTCCACCCAACAGGTTGGTTATGAGGAAGGAGTGCAAAACCCGTTTGGTGCACCCATCTTCCATTCAAAAGAGGTGCTAATAAGAAAAAAGGTAGAAGTTCCTACCTAGGAATTCTACCTGAGCAAAAGTAGCTACAGTAGCACCATCACCCTTGAGGCCTATCTGCTACCAATTGCAATGGCACTTAAGTGGCAGGCTAGAGCACGTCTATTCACACAAGCTGGAAAAATACCATCCTTAATGCAAAGCCGATTTCCCCCAGCAACTGGAAAATGGAGCAAACTGTGTCTCCATATGGGACAGTATGATTACTAAGTGTCCTCAGGCACTTCAAAGCAATAAGTAGCAATTTTGTCAGAGCTTTCATTACTAAAAAATCAGGAAGGAATTCAGGTTTGTATTTATGTAGGTAATTTATAGATAGAAAGACAGGACAACACACACTCATAATTAGGACTGCCAACAGGCTTGCAGAAAAGTTTCCTGTCCCTTTACCAGGATGTTATTTACCTCCATGACATGAAGACCTTCAACTGGCCATTTCCACAAGTAAAGCCTTTATTAAAAGGACAGGACACTTTTTCTTCCAACCAATTGGCAACCCTAACTCATAATGGCTTACAAAAATTCAAACAAAATACAATACTGCATAATATACTCGCCTACAGCACAGAAACCTTAAAGACACACACTAAAAACAGAGATAAAAGAAATCCCTTTTTTGAACAGGAGCCTACAGTAGCTAGTAGAATGACTATAATAGGGAGTTCCAGAGTTCAGGGGTTGGCTGCCTAGCAGGACTTTGTGTGTGCCTCTACCAAATCTATATGCAAAACTCAGGTTTCTGTATAATAGGTGCACAGCCAGCCATGCAGCACTGGGAGAAACATGTGGAACCAATTCAAGTACTATGGACTACAGTCATTTAAGGCTTTCAAAACCAACACTTTGTATCAAGCCCAGGAATATATTGAACGGCAAAGTAGATGACACAAGATAGGCTAAACCATAGTGAGCCCCCAACAGGATTGTAGCTGCTGCTTTCTGCACCATCTTTAAAGGCAGCCTCACAGAGAGCACATTACGGAAGTCCAATCTGGACATTACAAAGGCATGTGGTATTTAATATTTTAATTAGGGAACGGATTATGCACATTATTCTGAGGATTTCATCATTAAGAAGAATGTTTGGAAATTCTTTGAAGGTGGCAGAGGTTTAAAGGAATTATTTCCACATAATGACCTTACAAATATTCAGGGGCTAGATACAACGACTACCATATATTACATATTAAGTCTGCACATCTGCCACAACTTTTCATGCTAGTGAATGCTGCATTAAACACAATGATCTTAACAAAGACAAGCAGGTACAAGCCAGGGTATAACACAAGTATCTGATTGTTGATTTACTTTCCCACTATAATTTATCAAGATACAAAAATTCTTGTCAATAATCCATCTTGGTTATTAACATTTCTTGATTCAAGGTGTATGGATTTTAATGTTGACAAATGTTATGCCTTCCATTCTGCCTCCAGGCCAAAAAAAAAGAAAAAAAAGTAATCCAGTTACAACTAGAGATGTAAAATTTCCGGAAATTTTGAAGCTTGGGAAAAAAACACCGGGGGTTTTTCCCAGTTTTTTTCGAGAAAAAACAGAAATTTTCAGAAAAATTGAAAAAAATGCTATATTAGCATTTCTTTTGTCTTTTCCAGATTGAAAGTCATTCTGTTACTTTAGGGACATATAATATGACTATGGACATTTTTATTTGGCATGAAATTATCACAACTAGCATATTAAAAATATAGTGTATCCAAACACAAACAGAATACCCACCAACATGCAAAGACAAAACTGAAACCTTTTTATTTTCTTCTGACAAAAAATATTTGAACACCTTGTCTTAAAATATTTTATTCATCATGTTAAAATAAAACGTTCCATAATCAATTTTTTTTCTTTTCTTTTTTCAATTTTTCCAATTTTTCGGAATAAAACAAAAAAGGCTTCAGGAAAAAAAACGGGGAAAAAACGTTTTTTCCCCAATTTTTTCCGTTTTTTCCCAGGGCCTTCACATCTCTAGTTACAACTTCCACTCTAATTATTTTCTCTTTGAACAAGAGTAGTAACAACAGTGTTTATTGTTTCAGTAGAGTGCAAGTGGACAATGGTTAATTTCACCCTTTCTTTTTTAAAAGTCTGATCTATCAAAATGAAAGGCAAGCCAAACAAGTTTTGGTGAGCAGACTTACCAAAGGGGAAGAGATGACAGCAGAGTACACTTAAGGAAGATAGCAAGAGTGCTGTAAGCTGGGGCCTAATGGGAGTTGTTGACCAGACCAAAAAATCCAAACAAAAACCCAGAAAAAGCCATGATCCACAAGGCCACAGTCAACCCCCCAAAATGCTTCCATGTGAGGGTGGACCACTGAAGTCTTATACAATCATACAGTACAAGTACTGTAGCAACTTTCTTCAAAGGACATGCATGGTAACAAAAGAGATGGAATGTATGGCAGAAAGGAAAGGGATAACCAAGAACAGCCCTTGGCCTGATTATGATAGCCAAGGAGACCACTGATGGTGGTAGAGAATTTGAGTGAGAGGTAATTGCACCTACTCCCCACAGGGAACAAGCTTCTCTGACAGAATATCTAAGGATACTCCAGCTGCTAATATGGCAGCAATAAAGAAACAAACATGTTTGTATAATATTACACAACACCTCTCTTCTGACCAAGCACTACTAATGTACACTTCCTTGTGAGGACAAACGAGATCACAAACTTTTGTTAATGATTTGGTCCAAACGGATTAAAAAAAATCTCCATTCAAGTGAAAAACCAACAACAAACACTTTGCAGAGAAAGCTAGATTTATTTACTGCACATCTTATTTACTAGTTTCACTTTAAAACAATCCTGCTAAATTGAAATTTATCTTTTGAGTTTCAATTCTTCTTCCATTTCTCAACAACATACCAAACAGGCACTTGATATCAGAAGTTATTTAACTCTTTTAGACATTCATTTGCCTTATAGAGAGAGCCAGTTTGGTGAAGTGGTTAAGTGTGTGGACTCTAATCTGGGAGAACTGGGTTTGATTCCTCACTCCTCTACTTGCACCTGGCTGGATGACCTTGGGCAAGCCATAGTTCTGATAAGAGCTGTTCTTGAAAAAGAGCAGTTTCTGTCAAGAGCTCTCTCAGCCCCACCTACCTCTCAGGGTGTCTGTTGTGGGGAGGGGAAGGGAAAGGAGTTTGTAAACCGCTCTGAGACACCTTTGGGTTGTGAAGGGCGGGGTATAAATCCAATCTCTTCTCTTCTTCTTATTGTCACTGATAAGAATAATCTCCAGGCAAGGAAGCTTTAGGCTGCAGTTCAAAGGCAAGGAAGCTTTAGGCTGCAGTTCAAAGGCAAGGAAGCTTTAGGCTGCAGTTCAACTAAATTATACCCACTGAAATCAATGGGTCTCAAATCCAATTAAACTCAGGTGTCACTGGGTTCTTTTAAGAGGCTGCCTTTTTCCACATGCGACAAATTACTATGATAACTGTGTGAGCAGGTGGAATTTCTTCAGATGGTTATGAGTTGGTTATGGCTATTCAGATGGTTATGAGTTGCAATGGGAGGATCCCTGCAGTGAATCTGACAAATTTGAAGGGTGGAAGAAACCAGCGGCCACCTTCAACCTCCTAAGCAGTTCCTCAGATCAGCTGTCCAATTAACAGAAGAATCAGGACACATAAGAGCACATAGCTTTCTTCTTACTAAGCAGTAGCTGATTAGTGAAGACTTTGCACATGCCGTGCTGGATAACCTGAAATAGAGCGATCTTTTAACCCTGCAGTTGATAGTGAAGCATTTGAAAAGTTGCTGCTCAGAGAACAGCTAGCATGAATGACCAAATCGTCAACCAAAAGATGGTAGAAGACATTCATAAAGCCATACCTCTATTTTATAAAAGTTACAGATAGCAGATACAACATGAAATCTCTCCATTTAAGACACTTTCAGGTGGGTAGCCATGTTGGTCTGAAGCAATAGAACAAAATTCACGTCCAATGGCACCTTTAAGACCAACAAAGTTTTATTCACGGAATAAGCTTTCGTGTGCATGCACACTTCTTTATCAAATACATTGATATGGAAGTTACCAGTCCATGCATAAAGGTAAAGGATAAGCAGCAAATTAGCATACAGCACAATGAAGATGTTTAACAGATGCAAGGACCAAACAAGAATAATGAAGTACCAGAGTAAAAGGATGGCAAAACATTACATCAAAGTTCCGTTCACACAACTACAATGTCTGCCCTCCTTCCACCCTGCCCCATTTTCAGGCACAACAAGAACAGTCCCATCCTAAACAGTCCCAACAAAGTACAACTCTGCCTACAGAAACAGCTGCAAGCCATCCTAGTCCTCTGTTTCTATAAACTTTTAAGCAGTACCAACCTGGGATGTATTCTGTCTCAAAACGCTGTCTGGTCTCACTTATTAAAACAGCCCTATTGTCCTGCTGAAAAGTAAGAAAAGAAACATAAATCATTCAAATCCAGGTGCTATTCCACATTTTTTTGCTATCCTACACTGTACATAATGGGTAGAGATGGGCAAAAACTGGGAAAATGGAGGTTCATGGTTTCTCATGAACCACGGTTCGTGAACCTCCACAAACTTTCCCATTTACCGAACTGGTTCGAGTTTGTGAAGTTCATGAAGCTTCCAAGCGGGGGGGTGGGGGAGCCAAAGGGGTCGCTGAACTGGCTTGCATCTATTAGATACAAGCCAATTCAGTGATGCCTTTTGCTCCCCACCTCCGCAGAAACCACAGCTATTTTCGCCAGTGAACTCAGAAAGCATTTATATGCCTTCTGAGATCACTCGTGCCATGTCAGGGGCACAACTCACTGGCAAATAGCACCACAGCAGCGATGTGGCTTGAAAGGGTTCCCGACTGTTGCCCTGGGCACCAGCATATCTGGCCCACGAACCCTCTCATGAACCAAATGAACTTCTACAACACACATGGCAGTTTGTGCAACTGCACAAATCACAGTTCATGATCGCACAAACCAGCCGAGTTCATCACTAAATTTGATTTGGTTTGTGCACATCCCTAATAGTGGGTACTTAAAGGAGGCAAGAGGTCTTCCTTTTTCCTGGTTCTAGTAATACTCCAGTTAAGAACAGGAACACATTTTTCCATTACAACATCAATTATCACCAAAAGGTTCACCAGTACCATGAGTGCCAGCCTCATTTCCAGTTTCAAAATTTGTTAAGATGATGGCAATAGGTTGTCAAGCTGCAAAGGTCTGAACTCCAAATGGAAGTAACCAGAAACATTGTGGGGGTGTGATAATTGTACTACCAAAAGAACAGTGGAATTCAGACCCATTACATTCTCTTCTTCCTCTCCAAAAAGAGAAATTACTATAACCGGGTTTTTTAAAAAAGTTTCCCCAAGTGAAGGTACAGTTGACACTTGTGGACAGCTTGCCAGCAGAGGTCATTAACAAAAACTTCTAGGAAAGGTCCTACGGCAGCGAGGAGATCCAAAATAGTTGCAGTATAAGCCTATAGCAGCAAAACAAGACAAAAATCCAGCAGTACCTTAAAGACTGATAAAATTTACCCCAGCATAAGTTTTTGTGAGTTAACACTCCTATCTTCATGTGCAATTATCATGAGCCCTGCTCACAAAACCTCATGCTGGGATAAACGATGTTAAGAGTGTAATGAAACCGAACTTTTTCATGGGACAGGTTTGAGAATCACTGTTCAAAGTCAGGGCTGCCAAAAACCTTAACTAGCCTATTTTCTCTAAACAGAAAATACGGCCCACCACACCTTTGTAACACGGCAGATGCGGCGTGATTTTTTAAATACTATGGGAGGAGAAAGGTGGGGAGGAACAGAAGAAATAATACCTCACTTTAGGGAGCCCGAGTAGCTGACCTCCATGCCTTGCAGGTCCACCCTGACATTATCCTACAAGGCATCAACTCATTTGTCCCCAAACGGAGCACCGTGTCAAGTGGCAGCCTGCACCTGAACTCTCCTCCCTCCCCACCCCCCGACAAAAAACAGAGAAATTAAATAAGCACAAATTTAAAAGGGTCCGTCTCTTATCGCTGTGGAACCCCCCCCCCCCCCGCATTGCTTACCTCCGCCATGGTCTTGCCCACACCAGATTCCCAGCAGCAACAGGATCGAGAGAAACAAACGAATGAGAACGAGGGCGCGCGCCCGAGAAGAAAAAGGAAGGGGGAGGGAGGAGGAGAAAAGGAACCGCGTGACTCTGACTGAGGGAGGAATTGATACCAACCGGCGCCGTGTCCGCCCGCCACCCTCTGCGGCTGTCACCCAAACAACTACCACCCCTCCTTCCTTGTCCAGCGGCCGGCCTCTAAACTCAAACCGGCTTTAACTCTACGCGCATGCACAGCCGCCAACCCACCATCGTTACGTCTTTCCGTGCGGGCCCACCCCTTCCTTTCCTCGCCCCCAAGACCCAAGCATCACGCTTCTCGCGTTACGTCACCCCGTTCGGCTGCACCATTCTCTTCCCACAATGCTCCCCTTGGCGCGAAGATTCAGACTCCGAAACCGCTATTAACTGTGCTTGGGGGGGGGGAGTTGTTAGGCGCATGCTCCGGAGAGGGTTCATGATTTCGGATGGGGGGGACAGCTAGTAAAGCTGATTTTGAAAGGACCGTCTTCGTTTTTCCACACATCTTGTTGAGATTAATTTCTCCTTCGTATGGTTTCCTCAGAAATAAATCCTGCTGCGTATCCTTGAGACTTATACTTAAGTAAGTATGCTACAGAGTGCAGCGCAGGGGTTAAGTTGTTCGTTGAGCATCGAACGTGCTGTAGAGCGGAGCGTTTTTCCTCTCACAACCATGCTTAGATTGGGTCACCACAACAACTCCTTTTAACCTCTCCGCAACGGTATTCTCCCCCGTTCGGAGGCGGTCAGGCCGAGACTTGCCCAAGGCCTTCCTACTTTGATAGATGCCTGTCTGAATGCTGCTGGTAGTAGGAGACTTATTTGGTATATTAGAAACAGGAAGTTTGATTCTGTTGGGGAGTAGCGTCTACTTGAGATGACCGTGGTGGCTGCTGTTTCTTGTTTCCGCTCGGCACCTCTTTACGCCTAGTCTTAAAGTCCAGCACAGTGAGGAGGTGGAGTGCTGAAAACGTAGAATAGACTGTGCCGTTTTAGACAGCTGAGGAGGGATTGTCTTTTCCAGCGTTGTCCTAACAATTTTCTGTAAGTGGGAAACTAGTACAGTGTATAAAGAACTTGGTTAGGACTTTTCACCCTGATGTGCAAATTTTTCCCTTGTGGGGAGTTTTTACATGGGATGTGTGTGTAAAATGTGATCTTCTCTCCTTGTATTATGAAGTACCACCAACTAGTCTGCCACCTCAGGGTTCTGTTTGAGTCCAGTGGTACCTTTAAGTCCAGCAAAGTTTTTTTAAAAAAATTCAAGGTATAAGGTCTTGTGTGCATGCACACTTCTTCAGGTACAGTGTGCATGCACATGAAAGGTTATACCTTGAATAAAACTTTGTTGGACTTAAAAGTGCCACTGGACTCAAACTTTGTTTTGCTGCTTCAGACCAACATGGCTACCAAACTGAATCTAACCTCAGGATTCTGCCTCTCATTCTGTTGTATGCGTGGCCCAGGCCTCACTTCGAATGTTCTGTAGCTCAGGTGTTGCCATCCTAAACATGCTTACTGGAAAGTAAGCCCTATTGAATTCAGTGTCAGCTTACTTCTGAGTAAATATACTTAGGATTTGATTGAAAGATTTTTTAAGGTGTTGCACTCTTGACCATTTGTGTGAATAAGGCTCTTTGATGGATAGTGGCTAACTTACTTCTTTATTAATGTACTTCTGTCTGACTTTTCAGGTTTTTAAAAATGTAAGCTCAAAAAGCATGTATCTGTACATTTCATGATTCATTTAAAACGTGTTTAAATGCTCTATTTATTATAATATTGCTTTGACTTTTTTGTTTTTCAGATTGGAAAGATGCTATTCAGATCAAGTATACCACTGAACAGAAGAATCGTGCTAATGGAAACCAAAAACTTAAGTAGTCTTCATGCTGTGGCAGATCCTTAAAGAAAAAATATTAATGGATCAACAAGAGAAGTTGCTGTCTTACAACGGGGAGCTTCTTATTTTCCAGTTATTAAAAGGAAAATCCTCAGGTGGCAGCAACACTGAATTATGTGTCAGAAGAATGATGTTCAGCAGTGGTACAAAACTGTTTGTTGAGAAAAACACTGGATCATTTAGCATGGGCGGAGAAGGTGTTGAAATGATTCACTGCAGCTGTGTATCTGACTTCAGGACAGGAATTCTTCTCCCTTGTATTCTAATGAAAAAGATTAAAAAAAAGAGTATTAAGTATATTTTACTGCTTCTTCATAACTTTAACAAATTTGAGGTTGTCTTGCATTTTAAACTAGACTATGAACTGAAAGAACCTATAAAGCTACTTGGTGGTCCAATGGTCTTATGGAGTTGTGCCAAAAAAATCTTTTATATTTCTCCTCCAACTTGCACTGTATTATGTGCTCCTGTTGAGTTTTCTTCCATCAAATGGGTGGGTGAGGTTAGAGGCGAGGGTATTGTTGTTTTGGGAACAAGAGCTCCTTGTTTGCCAGAGGCAGACGATGGGAAAAGTGTTGCCGACTCAGAGGCGGTCATCTGGGGTAGTGAATGTCTTGCTTATGCTGTGGAGAAACAGAAAGTCCTCACTGGTGCCAGTTTTCTGCCTCATGCTTACAGCAGCGTGGTGTCTTGTGTACATATATGCAGAGCTGAGGCAGTGAGAAACAAGTTAAGGACATCTGTTGTTGCAGTCACATGCAAAAGCCAGTTGGTTGTCTTTCAAGATGGTCTACCCAAAGATGTCCACAAGCTTCCATACGACAATCCCTGTTCCATACAAATAGCTGCAGTAGAAGGAAATAACGAGCTGGTTGTTGTATCGTTCTCTTCAGGAGAGGTGTGTTCTGTATGGAAAGACAGCTTGCAGGTACTGAGTTAATCTCTTAAAGCTATGCTTGGCCTAGAAATGCAAAGACTTGGTTTCTTCACCATCCATGATAAGTACATAATCATTCCTAAACTTTGTTGGAACTTGTGCATACACACAGGGCTCCTGTTTCAGTGCTGGGACAGTTCCAGACCTATGTGTATTGTATTGATGCAACTGGAAACTTCACATACACTTTGGAGTTCCCACAAGCATAAGAAGTTTTTTCTCGGGGGGGGGGGGCAGCTTAGTGCCAGGTTAAGACAGCTTTAATCACCTGTGTCGAAAGCACTTCTCCTTAGTTCCCATAATTGTTGGATTATAGGTGTGCAGTGGCAGTGAGGAACTCTACAAGATCACTTAAAATAAATTACTGAACTTGTTTCTGGGCTGCGTTTGTCCCCTGAAAATGCTGAGGATTCAAAAATGGCATTCTTTCATACCTGAAATAAATTTTGGTTTTCATACATGACAAATTGTCATAAATGAAGAACTGACTAATGAAAACCCCTGAGATGCCGCCTGCATGGCTCAGGCAGCCTAATTATTTTTGTTAGTATTATCTAATCTCTTTATCTTTAGCTAGTATTATCTAATCGCTATATCTTTAGCTTGGTGACTGATTCAGTTACCTTTGCACATTGTGTTTAAAAGAAAAATTGGTTCTCAATAGAAAATATAGAACCAATGCTATCAGATATGAAACTTAAACTGAAAATGGGTATGTAGGTTCCACACAGACAGTGCCAGTCTTTTCCTTTCCTGCCGAAGTAAATATTTTAAAGAGATGACAATAAAAACTTTCAAACTTTTTAAAATTTAAGCTTAAATTGGCTACAGTATGAGAAATAGAATTTCCTTGTTATCTCCGCCATCATTTTTTCTTTGTAACCTTCTGATTGGTAGTTCCACTGTACTGCTATTTTAATAGATGGTACGGTCATATAATTTCATTTAGATATCACTTTTGGTATAATTTGAAGAGCTTCTGGTGACAAACTGGTCCAGTGGGTATAATTTGTGTTCATTTATTTTAGAATGCTGGACAGTACCCAGCTGTATATTTATCATAGCATAAGTAGAAAATGCAGAATTAAAATCTGCGCTGCAACAAATTCTCCATCCAGATGTAAATATTAGTATATTTTATATAATTAACTACATTCAAGTATTACATGATTATAATCATGTCAGTGTGAGTGTACATGCTTTATATGCATGCATGCATGCAGGTGTGGCCATAAACCTGCATGCATTTGAGTAGTATGTGATGTTTGTTCATTCCCATGAACCATCTGTTTTTTCAGTGGGGACAGTTTTATGGGACTTACAGGTCTGGGTTCAACCTGACATATTCTAGTGTATGTATAGTTGGGGCAGAAGTGTGTCAGAAAGTAATTCATGTGTGTAGAGTATACTTTCCTTGTAGGCTATTCCCCCACCACCACCCCCGATTGTTAAACCAAAAAACTTTAGAAATAATCTACTTTGGGTTGCTAGTTTTAAAAAAAAAAAGCCTAAGAGCTTTTTTAAAGGATTTGATTTTGTGTGCACCTAGAAAATTATACTTATTTGAAGATTGGTGTTATATGCCATTAAGTTGCTTCTGACTTATGCTGACACTATAAATTAATGACCTCAGGCATCCTATCATTGACAGTCTTCCTCAGGTCTTGCAAACTGTAGGCTGTGGCTTCCTTTATTAAGTCAAGTCCTCCTCCTGCCCTATTGCCTTCAACTTTTCCTAGCATTGTTGTCTTTCCCAGAGTTTTGTCTTGTCATGAAGAATCAGTTGTCTTATAAAAATATTAATTTGAGGCCTAGTCCACATACTGTCTGATGAGTGGAGCACTGTCTCTTGGAAGCTTATCCCCCTAAAATTTGGTAGGTCTCTACTCTCTAAGGGGCTACTGGGCTTGATCTAGCTGTTCACATACTATATTAGAGTGTGTCCTTTATAAGTCATAGGTGTGGCATGCATTTGTACAGTTTCATAATATGTGCTGTTTCTTCATTCCCATGGTCCATCTGTTTAAAGATAAATAGTAGAATATCTTCTCCTATGCTATTGAGCTCTTATTTCTGTTAGTACTGCATATGCGTATGTTGATGTTGTTAGCAAACTGATTTGACAAGGTGTTACATTGGTGAATATCAGATCATAATACGTTTGTGCGCATTTTCTTTAGAATTTAAGTTTATTGCTTGAAATTTCCATCTTGTAGCAGCACTGCACAGTGCTTAGCACAAAATAGGCTAACTGCCACCAGACCATAGAACCCATGAACTACCTGTCTAGCTGTTGCAGATAAATCCTTTTCACCAGATACCAGCAATTCCAATCAAAGAACCTTAAGTTTATCACTTAAAAATCTCCTCATGCAAGTCCCTGCTAGGCTCTCATTCCTGTGTTTAAGTAGGTAAGAGGATCTTTGACTAAATATGAAAATAATGTACATGTCCAACCAAAGTTTAGCATTTTTAGATCTCCATTGATTTGAAAATTGGTGTAATGTAGTGACTGACAATGTGAACTAGAAAGATCCTGGTTCGATTTTGACTCTACTAGGGCTTCACCAGGTGGCATTTAGGCAATTCATTAGCAATTCAGGGTCTTTGCTCCCACCCTGAAATAAGGGAGAAATGTAATACTGACATATCTAACAGGATTTTTGTAAGGATTATTTGTATCCTATGGTTAGTTTCAGATTAGGCAAGCACTTCTGTTAATGGGCAGAGGTGGCAGGGTTTTTTTCACCCTCTGGACTCCCAGGAGCAGAATTTCAAGAGACTCTGTGTGAGCTGCCATGGGGTGAGGGAAAGTCAGGCTCTGGGTGTTCTGCTACACTTCATGATCTCGTAGAGTACAAGCCAATATATGTAAAAAACTGTAGAACAATCAAAGTGCTATATACATTTTAAGCATATACATTTAGGTATGTGCTTAACTTATTAAATCAATGGTACTTAAATTGATTTTGCCTGGAACATATCCAAATATATGAAAATTGCTGGGAGGTGTGTTTGTGTGTCTGTGTGTGTATACATATATTTAAAGGAAAGTGTTTCTAATACTATTTTGTGTTTCAGGTTGCTTCTTGCTGGCAAAATGTGAGCTCTGTTCTGACAGATGACTTTGTTGGCATTGGAACTGATCAAGTGCTGGTTTTTCCAAAGACTGAGTCTATTTCAGAAAAGTTGGCTACATTTCAAATAACAGATTTTGGACAATATAATTATGTGGTAAGATGAGTGCATCAATTGTTGGAGAATATTTTAGGAAAAGAGGTGTTTTAGGCAAAGTGGATGTTTCATAGCCTTTCTTTGCAGTTTGACATGGCTTGTGACATCCATTAACTAGATTTATTTGTATGTGTAACACAGTTCCTCTTTAGAAAAAGACAGCAATATGCTGAAATACTATTTTACAATTATATGTGTTTATTTTTAAAAAAATTACTCCACTTTCCATTTTAAAAGTTAAGCAGCTTGTCATAATTAAACAAAAACAACAATAAACAAAATGTGATGATGAATTAGAATAATTAAAAAATGTGAATGAATACAGAAACAAACAGGAAAAACAAAATCAAAAAAAGCCTGAAAAAATAGAATGGTCTTTGCCTGCAATCTATATGATAAAGCAGTATAGTTACATGGTGAACATCCCTGGGGAAAGTGTTCCACAGTCTTGCAGTGCAGAAGGCTTTGTTTTCTCTTGCTACCTGCCTGATCTCCCTGTGAAAGACCTCAGCAGATGATTTGAAGAAACAAGTGAATTCATAAGGCAGGTCCTTGAGAAACTCTGGGCTAGGCTGCTTAGGACATGATAGTTCAAAGGTAGTACTTTGAATTGTGTCTGGAAAAAAAAGAAAACCAGTGCAAGGCTTTTAGCATATGTTCCTTGTGGTTGCTGCATTTTGATCTGATTGTCATTTCTGATTGTTTTTTAAAGGCAGCCCAACATACAGTGCATCATTGTAATGTAACCTGAATGTAACCAGACTGGATAACTGGTGGGGTCACCTTTTCTGGAAAAAGGCATGCCTGGCACATTAATTGAAATCAGTAAAGTTCCATTATGCCACAGATACTTGACAACCCTAGTCATGTGTCACCTAAAAATATCTCTTCAAGCTGCAATCCTGGTCATTTAAGGAGAAGGCAATCCCATCTAGCCCTCTTGTCAACGATATGTATCATCAGCAATATTTCAGTCTCATTCGATTGAGTTTTGTTTTTTTAGTTCTTATATAGCACGTTCCAGGCATCTGTTCAGCACATATACCACTAAATCTGAGTCCAATAAACAGAATAAATAGTCAAAGGTGATCAGCATATTTCACCCTGGATGACCACTCCCAGAGATTTCACATAGATATTGAGCAATATGGAGGAAAGGACAGATCCTTGTGAAACTGTGTGGGAAATACAATGTATCAGAACAAAAAAATCTATCAGAACTGCTTTCTGGAATTTGCAGCCTTGTTAGGAGATGAACATTTGGCATAGAGTGCCCTCTGCTACTGTCTAGGTAGGTGATCCAGAAGGATTATAACTGATACCAAAGTCACTGAGAGATCTAGGGTTTTGTTCTCTCCTTCTCTGGGCATAGGTAGTTTCAGTTCAAAAATCAAGGTGGAATCCATACCGAAATGAGATTAGGTATCCAGACGTTGTTGGAGTTGAGCTACCCAGTTTTTTGTGACTAGATAAAAATTGACAATGGTTAGATTCAAAGAGGATTTCTTTAGTACTGATGAGATATCTGTCCTCTTCAAGGCAGCTGGAATAATTGGACCCAGTCCATTTATCACAAGAATGTTTTATTTATAGCAAGAGTATTTTATTTGTTTTATTAAGTAGCAAGAGTATTTTATCTATTTTATTAAAGTGTTTATAAAACAGCTACTTTGAGGTCTCCTGTTGAGTGTCCTGGGAGGCTGAAATTTTTTATTGCAAAGGAATTTCAGAAACAGACTGAAATGGGAGATTGCTGAATTACAAGTTATTACAACGCTCACGACAATGGAACCCCCTGAGCTTAACAAAGATATTAGGTTCTTATCTCACTATACATGCTAAGTCACTCAGTTCTCACTTATACCCAGAATTAATCTTTGTTGGTCTTGAAGGTGTCACTGGCCTCAAACTTATTTCTCACATCTGTTGTTAACTGTTTTATTATCTGTATGCTAATTTGCTGCTCTTCACGGATCTTACCAACTCCATTATTCCAATCTTAGCTGTACTTATGCATCTTGACTCTAATTAGCTCTTCCTGGCAACTAAGCCCCAGCATGTATATGTAATGCTTGAGGAAATCTGTTTCAATGTATCTGAAGAAGTGTGCTTCTCTCAGTTCCCACTTATACCTAGAACTGGACTTTGTTGGTCTTAGAGATGCCACTGGACTTGAATTTTGTCCTGTTGCTTCAGACCAATATGGCTATGATTTCTTTTAAGTGTGTCTTCAAACTGTCTTGCAATGACATCCAGTTTCCTGTGATATCTGGGCTATTAATTGCATGTTTTGGTCCCTGTGGCTCTTACTGTTGACAGAGACTCCTATAATTGTGCATCATTTGCTTTCAGATTTTGGATTAATATATTTTGGCTTGGCTTTCCATAGAGTAACATCAGCTATCATAATGACTTATCTTCTGCAAAAGAAGGAGAAGATAATCGCTTTTTTACCATCAAAGCACTTGAAGCAAGATTGCAGGTATGTGTCCAGCATCTGTCTTTTACTAGTTCTTGGCAACATCATGTATGTTTTGTACTGAATGAACTGTCACATGCAATGAAATTGGTTTTGGATCACTCAGCTTTGCATTCTTGTGGCTTGATTTGTAGATTTTGGTAAATGTGGAGCCAAGTAGTAGTGTTGACTGCTGAGGGAACCATGAGGGAATCAATGATGCTGTTTTAAGGTGGTGTAACTATCACTCTGACAATGTTTGGCCTGATAGCTTTAAAAAAAAAATCATGCAGTAAGGTTTTTTTTGGAACCATTCATGAAACAAGTGTTGCATTGCACCTGTTGCTTAAGGATATCATTTGACAGTATTTTTGTGGCCAATAAACAGGGAAAGAAAATATAAATTGTTGACAGTATTAATGTACCTTCTGACCCAAACAAGTCTTGTTTTTAAAAAAATCCTGTTACCCCTTGTACACATAGTTGATTGGGCTTGTTTCTCAAGCTTTTTGTGCTCTGTTTTAGTAATAGTAATGAACACATCTAAAATAGAAACCCTTTCAGTAGTTGTTACTATCTGGGCTTTTCCCTATTGTGATTGTCTTCCTATTGACCTGAGTGCTACTGCAGTTGAGCAGTTTTTTGTTAATCTGTTCTGAGATACTCCTGATGGGAGATCCTGATACAATCTCCATCTCTTGACAAAAAAAAAAAGTAGTTTCTAACTTACTTAGTGCTGTGCATTTCATGCTTTTTTACATGTATCTGCCTTGATCAGATTCTTACCTCTTCATTGTAGCTGAGGATGCAGAATAAAAGATGGCGGCTTCAAGAAAACACTGATGCCCAGGGTTTGGATAGCTGCATAATTTCTGGCCTGGGTGACTTGTCAGTTTGAGGGTCTTTAACTGCAAAACAGAGATTCTCTTTGACTTTTTGGATTTTTCTCTTCCTATAATCAGTTTATTGGGAAAATACAATTTCTAAGTTAAGAGATCAGATATCTTTTAATGATGAGAGTTTGTATAAGTTACCTCACACTGGGTCTTTTATGCCTTGCTTAAATAATCTATAATGTGTGCATCCTCTGTTTTGTTTTCTTGCATAGGCTGGCTTCACTTCTGTTCATGAGCTGAAGCGGCATTTACAGCTCAAAGAGAGAGTTCTGGTGAAAAGTTGTGAAGCATTAATAGACCTAATTCAAGGTCAAGAACATAGTTTTCTAAGTGCAGAAAAGGTAAAGATTCATAAAGGAGCATTATATTTTGTAAAAAGTGGTACTGTTCTTGAAAGTGTTGAGAAGACATATAACTGTCCTTCAGTGAGTTGAAAACACTCCTAGAGAACTGGAAGACCTCTCAGATGTTTCTGTTGTAAATAAAGTATATACTTATAGTAACTGTAAGGGGCTGCGGTGGCTCAGTGTTTAAGACGCTTAGCTGCAGACCGGAAGGTCAGTAGCTCGGCAGTTTGAGACCCGAATGCCACATGATGGAGTGAGCTCCCGTCTCTGGTCCCAGCTCCTGCCAACCTAGCAGTTTGAAAGCAAGAAATTGCATGTAGATGAATAGGTACTGCTTTGGTGGGAAGGTAACAGTGCTCCGTGTACCTTGGCGTTTAGTCATGCCGGCCACATAACCACAGAAATGTCTTCGGACAGCGCTGGCTCTTTGGCTTGGAAACGGAGATGAGCACCGCCCCCCTAGAGTCGGATTCAACTGGCTTTCTAGCAAGGAAAACCTTTACCTTTACTTTAGTAACTCTAGTTCATCTTATCGTTAACTGATTTCCCCAAAAAAATATTTAAAAGAACAAGAAAACTGTATTCTTTGTTCCACAAACCATTGCTCAGATTCTCTTTCTACAGCTTTGGGGATACGTTTAACTATGTATATGTATATCTTTTCATGTAAGGAAGGACTTGTTTCTCTCTGGGATGAAACTCAGAAGCCTTTTGATAATGGCATATCAACCCCACCTAAAGTCCAAGAACAATTTGTAGAGGAGGTTTGGTATCGTGTGGTGGATGACAGCTTAGTGGTTGGAGTAAAACTAATGGAATCGTTTGAATTGTAAGTAGTTTAACTTCTCTATGGTGGTGCTGTAGTAAGCACTGTTGCTGGTACTTAAAGCCTACAACTGCAAAATTAAAGCATCAGGCAGTTGAAGCACCAAAAATAAATGTAAAAACCAAGGGTTTAATTTGACCCTCTAATAAAATAGAAATATAAATGCCATGTTGTGACATTCTGTATATTTTAAGCATAAAAATAACCTTTAAAATGTATGTTCTGTTTTTGATATATTTGTAAGGTCACTCTGCCTGCATAAAAAGTGAGCTTGAAATTGGGGTGTGGGAGAGGCATGTTCCACATCTTACTTTGTTTTTGTTTTTTACACAGGCAGCTCCATGATGTCACTTTGTCACTGGTAATGGATCATAAATACCCTTCATTTCCCACTAAGTGCCAGTGCAGAGTCTTTAAGTTGGAGAAAGCCCCGCTGGCAGAGTCCACATCACACTGGCAGCCAGTGCCTAAAAGGATAAAGCTAAATGACTGTAATGGAAAAGGGGGTAATGGAGGATCTTCTCGGCTAAAGGCAGATGGGACAAAAACTTTCACTGCTGTTACTGCTCTGTCCCCTTTCTTGGCATTCCATCAAGTGTGGTGTAGGGTCCTGTTGCATGCAAAGGAAAAAAGCTGCAAAGATGAAAATTTCCAGAGCAACAAAACACAAACTTTATCATGTGGAAGAATTTTATTAAGTATGGAGGAGATTTCCACTCGAAAACACTCAGTAAACCTTAAAAATTCCAGATACGCAGGTAAATCAAAATTCGATCAGAAAGAAGGAATACCTTCATTAGGAGTGTGCGTTCAGCTAAATCTGAACTGAAAAAAATATCGAAACAATACCTTGTTATTTCCTGGATATTGTTTCAGCTAACTATAGATTTGGGTTATTGTTTGGCTATCTGAAATGGCCAAGCCATTTTGGGGGTTTTCGGGCTGCCGGATAGTAGAATTTAAAGCGATTTCGGTCCCTTTAAATGCCTTCTCCAAGCCGCACAACTCCATGGCGAGTGAACTCTGAAGGCATTTAAAGGGCCTGCTAGCCTTTTAAACGTCTTCAGAGTTCACTCACTGAGAAGTCGCGCAGCTTGGAGGAGGCATTTAATGGGACCACGATCCTTTTAAACATTTTCCTCCTCCATTGGAAGCAATGGAGGATGGGGGCATCTTCTTTGGGGGCCCATAGAATTGGACCCCCTGGTCCAATCTTTTTGAGGCAACGGGGGGGGGGGGGGGGGTTGATGGGGGCACCAGCAGCTAGGGTGCCAATTTGGCGCCTCTAACTTAAAAACGCCCCCCCCCCAAGCCCCAGATTGATTCTCTATTATACCCTATGGGGACCATTGACTATAATGGTCTCCCATAGGGTACAATGAAGCTGAAAAAAAATCAGGTTTCCCAGATCTGTACTGGTATTGGGATTCGTAGATATCAGAATATACCAGTATTTTTCAGGTTCAATATAACAGAACCCAAAAAATACTGGGTTGTGGTTTTTTTGCACACCCCTAATCTTTGTGTAATTTAATTTTATATATATATGGGATTAGTAACTATGTTGCTGCTTATTTGGTAATAAAGTATTTATTAAAAGCTGAAACTTACTTTTAGTTATATCATTTAACTTAGAAAATAGTTTGCAGTCCTGTTTGGGAAATGAACTGGAAATATATTGGGGGGGGGTGTTTGTTTGTTTACACTGCCCATTCCCAAAGTCACAGTGGACAACAGTAGTTTTTCGTAAAGCAAAACCTATTAAGACTCAGATGAAACATTATCTTGTCACTGGCTGGCTTAAACAACAGGAATTGAGTATCTGTGGGAAGATAATTTCAGACTTGTGAATTGGCTACCAAAACAGCTGGTCTGGGTTGATGTTGGAGATGTTGTATAGGGTGGTATTGGAAATAATGTTATCCCTGAACAAGCAATGTTAAAAGTAGATTTCTACTACAGACTGGCATATTAAATTTAAATTACTTGCAAGCACTACAGGAATAGGATAGCAAACATGCACAAATGTTTTCTTGTTTTTTAATTAAAAATGTGCTAGAAGTAGAATTTTTGTGTTATCACAGGCTTAATTTTCTACATTTTACTAATTAGAGCATAGAAAATGACAAGAAATAGATTTGGATCCTTCAGACACTTCACTAATGTATTTTTATGTGTTTTTTTTAATATTGTGAATATCTTCTGCCCCTGGTGTTGGCTCCATGAAAGATATTGTTGCTCTTTGTGCAGTATCGCACAAACTGCCCTTTCAAATAATCTCCCGTGACTGCATGTTGACTCGTGTGAACACATGGCTACTGGAACAAATGGAGTGTACACCAGTTGAGGACTACCCTGATTTTAAATTCTGCTGTAAATATGGAAGTCTGAATGGTACACTCTTCAACTGGAATCTGGAAACACCATTTGAAGGAACTCTAACAGTCTTTTGCAGGTAATAGCAGTTGGAAAGCTGAATTATCTTGCT